GCTTATGTGCATACCATCTAGATAAAGTGATATATATACGCACTCTCCCTCTCAGATCATACGTGGCGTTTATTGCTTTCTGATATCCTATCCACGGTATTACCATTCGTTCTACCAGATCAAACGCCACCAGAAGCACGACTGTGATATGTGATACGGAACACTTACAACGCTCCAACGCGCGGAAGGGCAGTGACCGTAGCCTGAACGGACAACGGGCCACAACGAGTACTGAGAGTTTACCCACAACCAGGACGAGACGTGTGCGAAAGCCCACGTTATCACCCGACAACGACGAGTCTAAGGCCGCATTCGCACGGGGACAGAGTGTGGCGGGCCGAGGTACTTGCTTGTTCGGGTTGTGGATGGGCGGGTGGCGTGTGTGGTTGCAAATGCACATTGCTTGTGTGTAGGTGTACGTATGTCTGTGTAGTATGACCTATTCAGTACCAGGGGATTGGCTGCCACTCACCCCGAATCCACAACCAGGCGTGTGTGAAAGACCGTGTGATCACCCAAGAATGACCAGTCCAAGGCCAGATTCGCACGGAGATACTTGGCTGAGATTCAATGGGCCATTTGCGTTTCAGTTCGTGTATATGATTTGTTGTGTCCGAAAGGCTTCGTTCCTACCGACAACACCAGCGGTATGTGTTCTCAATTATCGTTTCCTACCCCCTATCTTAACATTACTAGCTGCATCACCAAGGCCCGTGGCCGTGCTGCCCAACTCGCTGCCGGAGCTGCTCACAGGTCCACCCAAGGTACCCGAACGCACATACAAATCTAAACTCACCAAGGGCAGTATAAAGTCCTGTGAGAGTGTGACGAAGGACGTTCCCATCAAACTGCATATGACATACGCCACCAACAAAGCAATCTCGAGCAATATCAACCTGATACAAGGTATGACGAGAGTGTCGGTCGGCTGCAGCGGGTCCGTTGTTTGGCTTAGATATACTTGTGTGTCTAACTGCTGTGTGCGGACATACATCTTATTATTGGGAAGAAAATCACAACAGAGAGCTGAAAGTATCAACTTCTAATCTCAGAGGCTATGCCTCATTCGCTGCCATTGTATAGTTTTGTGAAGCTTCAATGCTGCCGCAAGTATGGCTATTGCCGTGATGGGGGCTGGCGGGAACTCGCGGGCACGACTATTGTGAGTCTTAGTGAGCTCGACAGTATGATATTGTGATTAGACATTGGTGTAGCTATGAGCACATCAGCATTCGGAAATATAAGCACATTACATGTGTACTGCGTACCATATATATACATATAC